GAAGGAAATAAGCAGTGATAATAAAACATGGGCAAGTTCAGCAAAGTTCTCGGGGGAAGCAATGCTTTGGGCATGCAACGCTTAGATTATATACGTCTTAGTAGTATGGATGAAGTCAGAAATACGGTCAAAAATAGATTAAGGCAAAGCACATGGGTGGTCCTCCGTTTGAAAAGCAACCAGAGACCAAGATGATGAAAGGACAGTAGAGGATTGAGAAAGGCGTCTGGGTCGGTGGGAAGGATTTATTGATAAAGAGTGGAAAAGCCCACGAGGCTCTCCAAGTAATGTAAACAGAACCATTAGTTCAGCCGAACCAAGAAATGATGTCTCATAAGTCCAATTGAATTCGGTGAATTCGAGGCCGACTAAGTGGTACTAGATTAATCGGCGCTTTGGGACTAGGTCGTACAATGCAGGTAAGTAAGAGGCTATAACAATAACGAGGGAGCAAGTCTAGCAGTCCCTCAGAGTAGGGGTAACAGAGTTAACTCTGAGGAGCCTATACCGTTTAAGTCTCGGTAGCATGGGAGCAGTCAGAAAGAAACAGACTAGTCCAGTGAGACAGGGTCACGGCAGGGCAGTAAAGCTGGCCAACCGATTAAAAAAGAAATGAAAACAGAAAGTGAGATCAGAAAGCTTAGGGTTGGTATAAGAAAGATTTACTGATAAGGAGTGGGGGAGCCCACGAGGCTTTCCAGGTGATGTAAACATGAGATTGAGTCAGCCGAACAGAATTTTGTAACGTGGAATACCTCTGAGTAAAACTGGAAAACAAGTAGCTGATCTAGCGAGACTAGATTAGGCGGCACGTAGGAACAGCACGTAAAAAGCAAGGCAGGAAAATGCCCGCAAAAGTAGATGGTGAGCGAATCAAGCAGAATCTCGGGGAAAGGAAACAAGAGAGTTGAGTCTGCGTTGCGTATACTAATTAAGTCAGAGTAGCAATGGAGTATTCAGAGAGAAACAGGCTTGTCAGTGGGACTAGATCACCTCAGAGCAGTAACAGCGGGCACTCCAATTGAAGGGAAAATGAAAGCAGAGCGTGATAATAAAGTTAGGGTCAGGATGGGAAAGGTTTATTGATGAAAGATGGGGAAGCCCACGAAGCGCTCCAGGTAATGTAATCGAGTAGTTGAGTCCGCCGAACCAAGAGAGGTGACGTCTCAGAAGTCTGGATAAATCCGGAGAGCAGGAGGCCGATCGTGTAGGACTTCATTAGTCGGCGGGTTTGGATAATGACATGTAGTAGAGGTAAGAAAAGAGTCCCAGTAAATGGTAAAAGTCTATCAAGCTCTAGATTTAAGGGAAACATCATGTTTAGACTGCGGAGCCTATACCGCGTAAGTCACAGTAGCATAATAACAGACTGATGGAAATAGGCTAGGCAGGTGAGCCAAGATCACGGCAATGCAGTAAAGCTCAAGTCCGATTAAAATAGGATTGAAAAGAGAAAGCGAGAGAAAAAAAGGTTAGGGTCGGGGTGGAAAGGGTTTAATGATAAATAGTGGAAAAGAACAATGGCAGATGTCAACATTTCGTATTATCTCTTCAGTGCCAACAAATAACATGAAAATATATAAGACGACAGATAGGGTGAGACCGGAACAAGTTAGAACAGGGTAGAGGGGCAGGCGTGACACCCCTACGCCCAGGGCAGCCGTAGGCTTACGAACAGTTGTTTCTGCACACAGAGTGCGGGTTTGATACGGTTGATCGCGACTGCCTCTGCAAAACGTAGGAAACGGGGGTTAGTATGTCTTAACACGATTGTAAACATTGTGGACGGATCAAACTGGTGACAGGTGGCAAGTAAATGCCTGCCTATGGATGAAGCAGGTGGTTTACGTGAACAGGTGGTATGAGCAACCGAGGCCTGGGTGATTTGACGCTGCAACCATTTAGGTACATGTTCCCTTATTCTGGAATTCAACGATCGATTGGTACGGCCAATGTAGTGTATACCACAACTACAAGTAAATTGGTAAATGCAATGTGAGTTGGCGCCAATAGGTTGTCTTTCTGTCATTGGGGTAACAGGCATTCGATTCGTCCGGTTGATAAGGACAGTTTCGGCAGCATAATAAGTCCTCTGGACTGCGGAAATTATGCGCTTTGTTGTCCTCATATTAGCGAAATCTCCCTTAAATGGTAGCTCGATGTAGATCTTCTTTTTAGCCACCGTCGATACCTTCTGTCCCGGCACCCTCGCCTGACTATGTTTGTCGATGAACCTACTTGGATAGCCATTTTTCAACAACGTATCCTTTAGCGAGTTTATCTCATCATCTAAACGGTCGGCAGTGCATATTTTCCTTGCACGGTTGAATAGCGTCTTGACCAAGGTCCGTTTGTACCGCATTGGGGAGAAGCTGGTAAAGTGTAGGTACTGCCCTGACCAGGTCGGTTTTCGGTAAACCTCTCTTTTGATGGACCCATCTGCCCTTCGGCAAATCAACACGTCCATATATGGAGGGCAGTTGCTTTTCTCTGTTTCGTTGGTTACTTTCAGATTCGTATGCACGTTATTCAGGCGATCGACTAAACGCGCAATGTGCTCCTCTGATGAGCTAAACACTAGAATATCATCCACATATCGCTTATAGTAGGAAAGCAGCGATATTTCCACACTCAACTTCTTTTCAACCATCGACATGAAAAAATCAGCTAGTACTGGGCCCAACGGACTACCCATTGCCACCCCATCTATCTGGCGATAAGGAATGTTTTGGAATTGGAAACCGATGTTCTCAGTACATAGTAGTAAGCTGTCCTTTAATAATTCGACTGGCATTGGAAGAGTAAAGTCGGAGCACTCTGCCATTTCACACACGTAATCAACTGTTTCATGTAGCGGAACATTGGTGAAAAGCGATTGTACATCCAATGTGGACATGGCTTTATCGGATAGGTTAAAATCATCTAAAGCCTCTGTAAGTTCGAAAGAGTCCTTCAGACGGTGTGGGATGGTCTGCTGCTTTAACGGCGAAAGAACTTCTACCAGCCAACGAGCCAACTTATGCTGTGCTGAGTTTGCCATTGACAAGATTGGTCTAAGCGGTATACCACATTTATGGGTCTTTGGCAAACCGTATAGCTGAGGTAGGTTGGACCCTCCCGGTTTTAGGTGGTTATATACCTCATCATTAATTACACGGTGTAAGAGGAGCAACTTTAGGTGTTCCGTGATGCGTCTTTCCACTTCACTAACATCCACTGTTTTTGTAAGGAGTTTAAATTTGCTAGCATCACTCAGTAAATCTTGCATTTTCTGTGTGTATTCTTCCTTGCACATAAGGACGGCTCCTGAGCCTTTGTCTGGCTTAAGTACAATCACCCCCTTTGTTCTCAGCTCTCGTAGTGCACAAAGATGACGCCTTGTAAGCAAACACTTCTCACGCACTGGCGTCATTGTGACCTCATGGGCAATATCAGTTAGTTTGTTTCTAAACCAGTTTGACATATCTGGACTAGACGCCTGTAATCCTGCTAACTGGTCATAAAAATTTTCAAACTGTGCCTCTATGAACAAGCGATTTAGCTTACCAGGTGAGACTTTGTAATCCATTCCGAGCGATAATGCTTCCAGTTTAAGGCATCAAGGGGAACATTTGACAGGTTTAGAACGTACGTATTGGGGTCACGATATGCAGGCTCCTCCCGTTTATCAACTAGTGAATTCTGCCACCGGACTTTGCATTTCTCCTTTGTACGATCAATAGTAAATTTGCAGAAGTTGGTAAACACAATCCTGCAGCACAACGATAAGCTATCCAGTATTGGCATTAGGCGGGAATGCGTCTCGAGTAGCGCAGTGAGTCGAGTCTGAGCAGTTTCCAACTGAGCAGAGGCGATGCGCCGGAGATTTCCATTGGATGGCTTTAGCTTATTTTTACGCAACACCTTCCAAATCGAACGTGGATATTGAAGTACGGTGATACAGTTTGAGAGAACAGATATTTCCGAACGACAGCAAACAAGTTTACACTTCAGACTAACAATACGGCGTAACTGCCTGACGAAATCAACGGGAATTCGTCTTTTGAGAAAATTGAAACAATTAGATCCCTTTAGTAATTTGAATAATGCCGTAAGAAGACGAACAATGGCAGATGTCAACATTTCGTATTGTCTCTTCAGTGCCAACACAATAACATGAAAATATATAAGACGACAGATAGGGTGAGACCGGAACAAGTTAGAACAGGGTAGAGGGGCAGGCGTGATACCCCTACGCCCAGGGCAGCCGTAGGCTTACGAACAGTTGTTTCTGCACACAGAGTGCGGGTTTGATACGGCTGATCGCGACTGCCTCTGCAAAACGTAGGAAACGGGGGTTAGTACGTCTTAACACGATTGTAAACATTGTGGCCGGATCAAACTGGTGACAGGTGGCAAGTAAATGCCTGCCTATGGATGAAGCAGGTGGTTTACGTGAACAGGTGGTATGAGCAACCGAGGCCTGGGTGATTTGACGCTGCAACCATTTAGGTACATGTTCCCTTATTCTGGAATTCAACGATCGATTGGTACGGCCAATGTAGTGTATACCACAACTACAAGTAAATTGGTAAATGCAATGTGAGTTGGCGCCAATAGGTAAGGCAGTACCTCCACTTTACCAGCTTCTCCCCAATGCGGTACAAACGGACCTTGTTCAAGACGCTATTCAACCGTGCAATTAAAATATGCACTGCCGACAGTTTAGATGATGAGATAAACTCGCTAATGGATACGTTGTTGCAAAATGGCTATCCAAGTAGTTTCATCGACAAACAGTCAGGCGAGGGTGCCGGGACAGAACTTATCGACAGTGGCTTAAAAGTAGATCTACATCGAGCTACCATTTAAGGGAGATTTCGCTAATATGAGGACAACAAAGCGCATAATTTCCGCAGTCCAGAGGACTTATTATGCTGCCGAAACTGTCCTTATCAACCGGACGAATCGAATGCCTGTTACCCCAATGACGGAAAGACAACCTATTGGCGCCAACTCACATTGCATTTACCAATTTACTTGTAGTTGTGGTATACACTACATTGGCCGTACCAATCGATCGTTGAATTCCAGAATAAGGGAACATGTACCTAAATGGTTGCAGCGTCAAATCACCCAGGCCTCGGTTGCTCATACCACCTGTTCACGTAAACCACCTGCTTCATCCATAGGCAGGCATTTACTTGCCACCTGTCACCAGTTTGATCCGGCCACAATGTTTACAATCGTGTTAAGACATACTAACCCCCGTTTCCTACGTTTTGCAGAGGCAGTCGCGATCAGCCGTATCAAACCCGCACTCTGTGTGCAGAAACAGCTGTTCGTAAGCCTACGGCTGCCCTGGGCGTAGGGGTGTCACGCCTGCCCCTCTACCCTGTTCTAACTTGTTCCGGTCTCACCCTATCTGTCGTCTTATATATTTTCATGTTATTGTGTTGGCACTGAAGAGACAATACGAAATGTTGACATCTGCCAGTGTTCGTCTTCTTACGGCATTATTCAAATTACTAAAGGGATCTAATTGTTTCAAATTTCTCAAAAGACGAATTCCCGTTGATTTCGTCAGGCAGTTACGCCGTATTGTTAGTCTGAAGTGTAAACTTGTTTGCTGTCGTTCGGAAATATCTGTTCTCTCAAACTGTATCACCGTACTTCAATATCCACGTTCGATTTGGAAGGTGTTGCGTAAAAATAAGCTAAAGCCATCCAATGGAAATCTCCGGCGCATTGCCTCTGCTCAATTGGAAACTGCTCAGACTCGACTCACTGCGCTACTCGAGACGCATTCCCGCCTAATGCCAATACTGGATAGCTTATCGTTGTGCTGCAGGATTGTGTTTACCAACTTCTGCAAATTTACTATTGATCGTACAAAGGAGAAATGCAAAGTCCGGTGGCAGAATTCACTAGTTGATAAACGGGAGGAGCCTGCATATCGTGACCCCAATACGTACGTTCTAAACCTGTCAAATGTTCCCCTTGATGCCTTACAACTGGAAGCATTATCGCTCGGAATGGATTACAAAGTCCCACCTGGTAAGCTAAATCGCTTGTTCATAGAGGCACAGTTTGAAAATTTTTATGACCAGTTAGCAGGATTACAGGCGTCTAGTCCAGATATGTCAAACTGGTTTAGAAACAAACTAACTGATATTGCCCATGAGGTCACAATGACGCCAGTGCGTGAGAAGTGTTTGCTTACAAGGCGTCATCTTTGTGCACTACGAGAGCTGAGAACAAAGGGGGTGATTGTACTTAAGCCAGACAAAGGCTCAGGAGCCGTCATTATGTGCAAGGAAGAATACACACGGAAAATGCAAGATTTACTGAGTGATGCTAGCAAATTTAAACTCCTTACAAAAACAGAGGATGTTAGTGAAGTGGAAAGACGCATCACGGAACACCTAAAGTTGCTCCTCTTACACCGTGTAATTAATGATGAGGTATATAACCACCTAAAACCGGGAGGGTCCAACATACCTCAGCTATACGGTTTGCCAAAGACCCATAAATGTGGTATACCGCTTAGACCAATCTTGTCAATGGCAAACTCGGCACAGCATAAGTTGGCTCGTTGGCTGGTAGAAGTTCTTTCGCCGTTAAAGCAGCAGACCATCCCACACCGTCTGAAGGACTCTTTCGAACTTACAGAGGCTTTAGATGATTTTAACCTATCCGATAAAGTCATGTCCACATTGGATGTACAATCGCTTTTCACCAATGTTCCGCTACATGAAACAGTTGATTACGTGTGTGAAATGGCAGAGTGCTCCGACTTTACTCTTCCAATGCCAGTCGAATTATTAAAGGACAGCTTACTACTATGTACTGAGAACATCGGTTTCCAATTCCAAAACATTCCTTATCGCCAGATAGATGGGGTGGCAATGGGTAGTCCGTTGGGCCCAGTACTAGCTGATTTTTTCATGTCGATGGTTGAAAAGAAGTTGAGTGTGGAAATATCGCTGCTTTCCTACTATAAGCGATATGTGGATGATATTCTAGTGTTTAGCTCATCAGAGGAGCACATTGCGCGTTTAGTCGATCGCCTGAATAACGTGCATACGAATCTGAAAGTAACCAACGAAACAGAGAAAAGCAACTGCCTTCCATATCTGGACGTGTTGATTTGCCGAAGAGCAGATGGGTCCATCAAAAGAGAGGTTTACCGAAAACCGACCTGGTCAGGGCAGTACCTACACTTTACCAGCTTCTCCCCAATGCGGTACAAACGGACCTTGGTCAAGACGCTATTCAACCGTGCAAGGAAAATATGCACTGCCGACAGTTTAGATGATGAGATAAACTCGCTAAAGGATACGTTGTTGAAAAATGGCTATCCAAGTAGGTTCATCGACAAACATAGTCAGGCGAGGGTGCCGGGACAGAAGGTATCGACAGTGGCTAAAAAGAAGATCTACATCGAGCTACCATTTAAGGGAGATTTCGCTAATATGAGGACAACAAAGCGCATAATTTCCGCAGTCCAGAGGACTTATTATGCTGCCGAAACTGTCCTTATCAACCGGACGAATCGAATGCCTGTTACCCCAATGAAGGAAAGACAACCTATTGGCGCCAACTCACATTGCATTTACCAATTTACTTGTAGTTGTGGTATACACTACATTGGCCGTACCAATCGATCGTTGAATTCCAGAATAAGGGAACATGTACCTAAATGGTTGCAGCGTCAAATCACCCAGGCCTCGGTTGCTCATACCACCTGTTCACGTAAACCACCTGCTTCATCCATAGGCAGGCATTTACTTGCCACCTGTCACCAGTTTGATCCGGCCACAATGTTTACAATCGTGTTAAGACATACTAACCCCCGTTTCCTACGTTTTGCAGAGGCAGTCGCGATCAGCCGTATCAAACCCGCACTCTGTGTGCAGAAACAGCTGTTCGTAAGCCTACGGCTGCCCTGGGCGTAGGGGTGTCACGCCTGCCCCTCTACCCTGTTCTAACTTGTTCCGGTCTCACCCTATCTGTCGTCTTATATATTTTCATGTTATTGTGTTGGCACTGAAGAGACAATACGAAATGTTGACATCTGCCAGTGTTCGTCTTCTTACGGCATTATTCAAATTACTAAAGGGATCTAATTTTTTCAAAGAGTGGAAAGCCCATGAGGCTCTCCAACTAATGTAAACAGAACCATTAGTTCAGCCGAACCAAGAAGTTATGTCTCAGAATTCCAAATGAATTCGGTGAATACGAGGCAAACTAAACGGTACAGGATTAATCGGCGCTTTGGGACTAGGTCGTACAATGCAGGTAAGTTAGAGGCTGTAACAATAACGAGGGAACAATTCTAGCAGTCCCTCAGAGTTGGAACGCTTGTGCCCATTAGGGGAACTACGCTTTTGGATGTAGCACGTGCATGAGTTCAAAAGTTTTAGTGTCGCGATAGCACATTCCACCTGGGTTGCAGAGGAGACTCAAGTTTGGTAGCCTAAGTCACCTGCCAGGAAAACAGGCATTAACTTAATTGTTCGCGTGCGCGAACAAATGCGTACCATGCAGTTGAGGTTAGACGCCATGGAGTACCGCGTGGTCAATGACAGGACAGCTGCCATCAGTCGTGTGCCACTGCCGGTAGACTCTGTCGGCGAGCTCTGTACGCTGAACATGCGACCGGAGAACGGCAAAAACATGGAACACTTGGTGGAGACAGGTTTCCTATATCGCGTTTCAAATGGCCGAGTTCAAGCAACTGGGTGGAAAGTCCTTGACGGAATACGTCAAAAACGTACTGCTAGCGTTAATGACAAATGCCCTTGCAAGTAAAGTGAACTGGCGAGCCGTTCAAGCGAAGGGATGGGTTTCGGGCACGCACTTGGCCCATGCTTTTATCGGTAAGTTATAATATTACATAAAACAACGCTTTCAGACGATATAAGGTTCAAAATTTTCGCCGGATGCACTGGAGGTGGCATCGCAGATAAGGGTTGCCGTTGGATAGAGCAATTCAAAGTGCGAGCGGACTACAAACAGAAATACCTGGCATACCGAGATCAAGTGCAATAATACTGTATTAGGGGTTTTAGTACAATTCTCTTAACTGTTTGGTGTTCTTGTGTACAAAGTTGCATCGTTTTATAACGACGTAAAACACCTGCTAGCCTGCGAGAAATTTTGGCTTAACGAATGCAGATAGCTCAACATTTGAGGTAAAATGACAACTTTTACTTTCCTCAAGAATCACTTTCTCCTAACAGTGCACCTTGAAGGATTAGAGGATGTTAGTGCGATAGTGGTGTATGTGATACCTGTGCTCGATACTTTCGTATCTATGGTACTAAATTAGAGAGCATGGAAGTGTGTACGCGCGCACCCATGTAGGGATTGTTAAACTGCATTAAAAGCAAGGAAAATTCGTGTACTGTTATACGGAAAAAGCTGCTGCCATTTTTTGCTGTGCACCAGAAAGAAGCTCCAGTCTGGACCTCATTCATGAGCTCGAAATAACCCCATGTTTCTTTAGATACGAAGAATTTAGGGTACAAAGGAGTACGTTCGTCTGCACACTTGTGAGTGTATTTGAAAGCCGCTACATGCAATACAAAATCGTTATTCGCGTTTGAGGATGCCGCAGTAACTTATTTCGAGCGTCCGAATTTAGTCGCATTTTTAATTTACTCGGGTGCTCAGCAATGAACATCACCTTTTTCTACCTAGGAATAATGTTTGAGGTGCACGCTGTTGTTCGTACGCAAACATTCTTTGTGCGATGATTTGCGTTAGAAGTACTGGAAATAAGTTGCGCATAAATGGATGGATGCACTGCAATAGTAGACTGAGCGCCCGAATTTAGTGCCACTTGTGATTAAATACAATAAATCACGACCCCCGAAAAATGTCATCAGGACGCTTTTCAAACGTCTATCGGGCATCTAACGGGGGCCAGCAGCCGCCTATTGAGCGTTCATACCTGTAGGTTGTTGGCTTCCTCTCTGCTGCGTAAGCAGGGATAGTGCCAATTTTGATACGATCGTGACGCTCCCCTAGGCACGACGTATCGCAAAGATACACGCAAGCACTGTTCAGAACGAGAGGCAAAGAAGCTGACTCGGGCTTCTCACTTCTGAGCGCTAACACTCAAATGAACGCCATTTACTTAGAACCGCTGGAGCTGACCAACATGTTCCCTCTGCATTCCAACGAATTCAATAGAATACCTTAACAATAAATAAGTTTATTCGCGAATTGTCCGAGGCACGCCAATTCAGGCCTTATCGACCTCTAGAAGCATGTTTGTTTCTCAGCGGACTTGTTACAGTGCGTGTAAGCAGCTGTGGCTAATAATTGTACGTGTTGCAGAAATAGAAGCACTCATGGGGAAAAGGTTGTCAGTGCGTTGAAAATAATTTAGGAGCGGGTGAGCATAGAGTAAAACCTAAGAGCACTGTAACTGAAGTGCGCACGATATGTACAGACTGTATCCGTTTATAGTACGTTACTTGAAAATAATGATTTATGGCTCTAGTCAAACTGAGAGTTTGTACTTGTGTCAATGACGTTATTTAATGACGATCCACGTCCGTCAAGTCGTAATGTTGCTAAACAGACTATTGTGGCTTTTTATAGGGAGAACGATTGCCGGGCGAAAACCCAGCACATCCACAGGTCAAAACCGATAAACCTTTCATTCCATCTAAACAAGGTGCTGATGAAGCTCCGGAAAATGCGTCGCCAATACTATAAGACGCATGATTTTTACATTCTTATTCGCATGAACAAAGTCATAGACAACTGGCAGAACTCCCGGTTGATGGTTAAGCTAGCTTAAGAGCGCGCTGCCTATAACAGCTACAATAAAACCAAGTCCCTCGCCCAGCTATGAAAATATAGAAAGAATCGTACAGCAACATCCATCACCTCTCTGAAACTCCGATGAGTCCGTAAGCAGCGATCCGAAGAAAATAGCTGAGATTCTCAATAGCCACTTCTGAGATTGCTTCACTGACATCAACCTGATCTTGCCAACTGCTGTGCCTAAACTTACCCACGACTCGCTAAACATTAGTACCTTCGACTTACGTTCTATAACCCGAGTAAGTAGATCAATTAAGCTGTCTCCACACCCTGGCCTTAATATTCTCCCATGTGTACTGCTGTTACTCGAAGGGCAGGACCTCCCTGTTCTACTTCCTAACCTATTTACACTCTCAATAAAATTCGCCACGTATCCAAACACTTGGAAGCATTCCATAGTCATCCCTAAACATAAACAAGGTAGCCGGCAAAATATAGAAAACTACCGCCCCATCAGCCACACGCCTACTGCCTTGTGAGTAATGGAAAGAATTGATAAGGAGAACTTGCTGAACTTTCTACTTAGTCGCAACCTCATCAATAACCAACCACACGCAGTTTTACCGTCCAAATCTTGTCAGACTAGCCAATTTGAGTTTCTTAAATATGTGGCTGCACAGATTGCTTATAAACAAGCACTAGTCATAATTTTCCTTGATATGAGAAAAGCTTTTGACAGAGTACCACACGTGGAATTATTAGTAAAGCTTGAATCCCACGGAATCTCAGACCGCCTGCTCTTATGGTTCCAATATTATCTCTCAGCTTGCACGCAAGCAGTAATGGTAGACGAGTCTATATCACTCCCCAAACCAGTCACAAGTGGTGTTTTTCAGGGCAGCGTACTAGGCCCACTGTTATTCTTGCTATATATCAATGACCTTTACGAGGTAATACACTATGACAAGTCCTACCCGTTCGCCGATGACATCAAATTGGTGTTCTCCATTCACCCATCAAACATGCAAACCGGTCTTTTCCAGATTTAAAGCGACCTTAGGGCTCTGGATGTTTGGTGCAACACTTGAAATCTGGCATTCTCGCCGACGAAGTGCAACGTCCTCTCATATCGATGCATCGTTCCGCCCAAGGCGTTAGCGCTTCAAGGCACTCCGCTTGTTAATAGCCTCACAGTTCGAGACCTAGGTGTACATTACTCCAGTTCTCTGAACTTCGCAGAGCAAGTGAGCCATTGCTCAGCAAAACGCGCACCCTCATAAGCTACGTATTCAAATCCATGGCACTGCAATACTCTAGGCTTGCTTTATACAAAACCTGCGCCCGACCTCTGCTAGAATACTGCTCCATTGTGTTTACCAACTCCAGGAACTGCGACAGAGTAGCCAATGAAAAGGTTCAACGACCGTTTACCAAACGGCTTCTGGGCCACCCTACTCTCAACTATCGCGGTCGGTTTATATAACTCCTGCTAGAACCTAGAAGTCAGTGTTCAAAGGTGCGGCAGTAAGCAACTGGTAACTAACCAGCAGCATGTCAGCCTAAAGCGCTAGTGAGCGCAGAAGGAATAAGTAGCAATGGCTTGCAAATAGATAACCTCAATGGGTGTACATTGGGGTACTGCATAAAACGCAGCGAATGTTATAAGCATACAGCCAGGAAAACAAGTCCAGTCTAGCGCGGAGGATAAGAAGAGGTGCGGGAACTCTAGGTCGTGTCGTTGTCTGTGTTCGCGGCTACCCAAAGCAAGGCGACTAGAGTTGGTTGTGGATAGTAAACTTGAGGTGGGCCCTCTTGCAACACTTATTAAGTCCTGTAGTAGTAAGTGCAGAAACGAATATGACTTACCGTTGCTGAAAGGGATCGGAATGGAACAGGGCTTAAGAAGAAAATGGATCATAAGTATATTAGTGAATTAAGCGCCCCACACACTGGTGGCGTTCAACCGTGAAAAGGTAAACCAGCCAGCCAGCAGGCAGAACAGAGTGAGGGTCAGGCCTGCTATATTATGAAGAAGAAGAAGAAGACGCTGATTATCGAGGGTGGAAGGCTTGACTAATTTGCATCCGTAGTTTGGGAAAAGTCCGACATTGAGATGGACTAAATAGAGCAGCCGTAACGAACGATGCGTTTCCCAGCCAGGTCTGGAAATGGAATAAGAGTTGCAGAAGAAGGTGGACAACAACGCCAAAACACAAAGTTTTCCACTACGATGTTAACTTCTACAATGTAACAGACAATCCTAATGAACGGTAGAGTAGAGGAATGTTAGGAGCCGGATG